GTTAAAATATACTCTCGGAAGGCAAAGGTGTGCTAAAGTGATCCTCAGGAACCAAATGTATGCTCTCGGGAGTCAAAACATGGTCAAACATGCCCTCCTGGGAGGTAAAGTGGGTGCTTAAGTGCCATCTACGGACGCATTAAATGTGCCCTTTTCTTCGCCTCTGCCCTTCAGAAAGTCTGTGTACACCACTGACAGAACAGGTAAGGATTTTAATATATAGAAAATATAATGGAAACTAGTCTGTGAAGAGTTGGTCATCAGGCCATGATCAAGCTAGAAATTTTCCATTAAGGCAACTGGATGTGAGGTTTTTTGAATACATTTCGCCGCCCATCCGAGAGGCCTCCTCAGTTCTAACTAGGGGTGGCGAGCACTGAGATGAATATACAGTACTGTAGGTGTAACAAAAGAATTAGGGGGGACAAATAGAGGCTCTGATCCCTCCCACTGGCTGGGCCATGGATGGCACCTGGGGGGTTGGGTGTTAATGTTTTTTTTTAGGGGTGTGTCTGCTGGGTTGTTAACTCATCAGGGAGAGTTTTTCTAGGTTAAGAAAGATAGTTAGCTCACCCCTTTTGCAAACAAGCTGATAACCAAAGAAAAACTGAAGAGAGCAGCAGCAGCCTGTTCCCCCTTTTCTGCTACTGCTTGCTGTAACTGGGTGATGAAAGCTAGCTTCCCTCACGCTTTGAAAGCTTTTTGTCTGAGCCGGAACCCCTCGCCCCTTATCTCTGCTTTCCTGTTGGGTGATAAAGACAGGTACTTGTTAGCTTTGTTTGCCTGTTGTCTGAGCAGGGACCCCCTCCCTGTGGGAGAGAATTGCGTGCCGTTGTCTGAGGAGTTGCTATCCCATGAAGCTCCATTGTTGTCATATTCTAAATTCCCTTCTATGTTTTTTCATTTATATTTGCCGCTGGTGTAATGGATAATTGCTCAGCATTCAATAAAGCTCAATTAACTCCTGCCCACGCACTCAATTAATTTATTAATTTGTTTAAATTACCTAAGGGCTGCTTCTATCCAGTTTCATCAATTTCACTGATTGTCCTTCGTATGTGTTTCTTCTTCTGGTAATTGAGTGCGTTATCTTAGTATTGTTGACAGAATTAATGCTTCCTACATGTAACTGTTTGTTTAATTAATTTTAGCAATATAAATTGTGTTTGTTTGTGGTTATTTTTTATCATCGATCTATTGCTTAAAGGGCTGGTGCTGACTAACTCCTTTCAATGTATAATTCAATTATAAAAAAAACATTTCTGATGGTTTTGTTTATTTTTAATATTTAACAATTTAAGTTATAATAAAAATTGTAAACGAAGAGTTAGTTGAAATATACAACTGGCTTAAATACCCATATTTACTGGCAAATTGGGTTAATAATTGTTACTTCATCATCCAAATGGTTAAATATAATGATTAAAGGTTGGTACCTGTTACTCACAATTATCCAAAATGTACTTTTGCTGTGGATTAAATTTGGTAAGAAAAATAAGTTTGAAATCATAGTTTTTAATTATTGTTTCCTGAATAATAAAATTCATAATCAAATAAGAATAAATTTACTGTAAGATCTAGGCTGTATTTACAGTTTTGCGATAAGATAAAGACGAACACAAGTTTAAAAATGCCTTGTCTTAAAAAACATAAATGTAGAAAATAATTTAAAAAAAGTAATTATTTGAAAAATGAAAGGATTTTTTTTCCCTAAATCCTGTGTTTACAGCAATTTAATAGCAATGTGTTTCTGTTTTGAGTTTTTTTCATTGTTTGTCAATTTTAGTGTTTATTGGCGCCTCAAATATTCGTTTTACAGACTTTCTTGAGATTTTTTTTTTTTTGGTTGTTGCCCTAATAGAAGCAAGTTGTAGTTTTCCTCTTTGCTCTTACATAAAATATAACAGCGCTAATTCTGTTACTGCGTTTGATGTACAAGAAAATTAGGATATTTTTCTATCTAAAGAAATATATGGTCATTATTATAAAGTAATAACCATATCTGTGCTTTTTGTTAAATAGAAAAATTTTAACATAACAAGGACTAAGGTTTCTGGTTTAAACCTTTGCATTGTTATGTTACTAAATGTGCATTTTGTAGTGAGTGCATCTGCTGAGTGATTCTCCCGAAAAATGTCTTTGCTATTGAAAATACTCACTGGCTTCAATGTTTTTACTATACTATTGTGTTACAATTTACAAACAGTCTAACATGAAAGACTGTTTTCTTAGATGCCTTTCTGTTAGAGCTTAAATGATAATGCATTTTAGTTCTTAATACAGTATGCTTTGGATAAGGTGATGACCTGAAAACCCAAAGCAAGAGAGCAATCAGTTGTCTCTTTTTCGTTACTGTCTTCAATTTCCTCAAAACTGTGCTTTTTTTCCTCTCCTCATCAGGAGCAGCAACCAATACAAGGCCAGTTATTACTGCTGCAGAGATTGGATAAGATCAAAGGTGACCGGTTGAACACAGAAGATGTAACCACTGTGCTCATCTAAGGGACACTGCATGGGGTCTCATGTCATTATCCCCCAGTTATAATGATCTGCTTTTGGATTAATTATGTTAAAATATTTCACATTCCCAAATTAAATTGGACCCAACATTCATAATCTTCTGCAGTGAATATTTTTTTTTTTTTTTTAACCTATTTACCTATTCCATATTACTTGCTGTAAATGTTCATGGGGTTAAGGAATAAGTGTTGGTGCAAAAAAAAAAAAGCCAACCTTGTAATCGTTCATGTGGCAGCAGATCAGTAGAGCCACATTCCATCAGAATATCGAAAAAGCACTAGGACAAGGTTTTTTTCTTCTTGTTTTTTAAATTTTTTTTAGCATTTTAAATACGTCCCCCACCCCAACCCCACCCCCCAACACACACACACACACATATACTGTGACCGGAAATAATGAAAGTGATAGGAGGAAAGGAGAAAAACAACAGGAAGAAGTCATGGGATGACCAAAAAAATTCTTGGACAGGTACAGAAATTTAAGTCACTTACAAATCCCAGGTGCAGGAAGAAAATTAAATTTATGTTAAATCATTGCTGGCAGATTTTAACGGGAGCATAAAAAAGACTTGTTTTTGACAATTTAATTCCTAATTGGATTAGGATTGCTAATGCTGAATGAATCCTATTTTACACAGCTAATGATTCTTCATTTTCACTGATATGTTTCATCACTGTAAAAAAAATATTTGGTTTATAGGCTTAGTCAAATTTCTGCGTTTCAAATGAGGACTGATTCTTGGAGAGGGTTCAGTCGCGATGGTCTGCTCTCTCTTTACATTTCCAAGCTTTAAATTTCCAAGGGAATAAAATAATTGATGACTGAATTTATCTAAAGTGATTGGCTTTATCAACCAACAATTATTTGATAAGCATAATTTTTCTTAAAAAAACAGTTTTCTGATATATGAAGAGAATCTTTGAAAATGGGGAAAAAAATAAACTGAATGTTGGAAAAACTGTAAATCATATCTCAGTCTTATGTTTACATTTGATTACCATGTTTACATTTTATGACTGCTGCACTTTAAGAAATGGGAATGTCTCAAGAGCTGTACAGAACGAAATTTCCATTTTTTGTACACCCTGAATGTACTTGTCTTCCCAAAACATTAAGAACTAAGTATTTTATTTACAATATAGTGGATGAAAAAAAGACAGTTCATCATTATCTTTTAACAATTTCTAATGCCAGCTGTATTTGATACTGACCATATAAAAAAAATTAAATCCTACACATTCTTAAATGATTTACAACAGGAATATATATATATAATATATATTATAAAATATATTAGAAAATTGAGAAAGATATTATGCTTAATAATAACATGAAAGCATTTGTGAAATTTAAAATGTTCAGCGATGTAAAACTATTTTGTCTTAAATACTGGTCTAAATTTCTTGTCACACTACTTGCGACTTCATATTAATAAATTTGAAGCTAAATGTAAGACATCAAGTCTGTCATGTCGACCTGATATTTTGTCGGATTGTCTTTCATTTTATATTTAATCTTTGATTGGGCTTAATTTTCTTTAAAAATGGTTGTCAAAAAAAGAAGAAAAAAAGAGATTGTTGTTCTGCATAATGATATGTTTTTCTAAATATAGCAACTGAGGCGGGAATCCAAAGATTCAACATAAAAATGTAAAGCAAACCAGAACCATGGAGAGATCAGGGAAAACAAGCACAAGGAGCCGTGGAAAGACAAGGAATCAGCGCTGAGGAACTGCACAGGGAGAGTATTTATGGGAGATTGAACAAAGACAGGACTAATGAGTTGATTAGGAGCAGGTGTGGACAGAGGCTTCTACAAGGAGCTAGGGAAAAGGAGACCAACGCAAGAAGGAAACAGAGGGCAAGCAAAGAAAAACATAAGAACTGAAATAAATCCAGAAAACACCCAAAAAGCTAGAAAAAATAAAATAAAAACATGGATCAATGTGAAACAGAAAAATGAACAGGAACAAGACCGTGACAGAGATGTAAACAGCAATTTTTGTAAACAACTACTGTATTTTTTTTTTTTACAAAGTCCTTTTTAATTGACCCTAATGGCAACACTAATGATTTATGAGCTGGAGGAAGTTTAAAGACAAGGTTGTCTTTACGGCTATATAACAAAACTGTTTTGAAGGTTATTGTCCCTGTGTACCCTTTTTCGAGTGAAAGGAAGAAGAATATTTGCTGTATATTTATTATTATAAAAAAAAATGAAAATGTGGCCTTTCTGGGGAGCTTATAGAATGCAAGCCCTTAAATGGTAACCATCTTTGTTTACTTGTCAGTTTAAAACGATTTATGAGGAGATTGTCATGGTTTAGCAATGGTCGGTTATACACAACATATAGCAACACTACTGGTTGAAAAAAAAAAAATTATATATATATATATATATATATATATATATATATTTCTGATGGCCCTTCTTGTAATCACCCAACTCACTTTCTCATTTCTGTAAATTTTGTATTTTAGAGTCAAGATGAAGGATGGAGTGGTCTTCCTGGGCGCAAGAGCCAGTAACCCAGTTATGTGGACGGTCAGTCAGGATGTCAGAAGTGAGGGTCACAGGGTGGTTACGCTACACTGTCATAGGAAGGAGAACAGCTTTAATCGAAGGTATGTATGCCTCTTTTTTCTCTGCTATATTTGCAAAATTTTATAGACTAACTGGCTGTACAAACAGACACGACGAGACATGTTATTCTTCATACGTTTGCCGGTAAGTGAGTGATTGCTAAAAACTAAAGAATGAATCAGCTTTTGAGAAATAACTGTTTAGGCCCTGTTCTCAGCCAAGCGTAGCTGCTGAAATGCATTGTTCAACCAAGTGTCAGCTTTGCTTCAACTTAATGGATAGAGGACAAATTTTCAGTTTTCTCTATGTCAACAATTTTTTTGAACTCCACACAATCTGACAGCCTCTGTTTAATTAGTTTTACACCAGCACTGAAATATTTCAATATTCAAAACTGCATCAAACATGAAGTTAGGTTTTAATTTTTTTTTTTTTTTTTTTTTTTATGAAAAACAGTTTTAACCAATGTAAATCTGAATAAATAAGATTTTACTTACAAGAAAATTGAGGTAAAATTTGTGTATACTTGAAATAAAAAAAATGCCTTACTGGAGGCACCTATATTTTCTGCAGCTATGGTCTTCTAAAAGCACCTATCAAGTTTGGAGACAAGACATCTCTGGATGCCTGACCAATAATAATTTTGTTTTATCATGTAAAAAAAAAATGCAGTTAATTAGCAGGATCCACATTCACTACTGTGATCTTAATTCTAGTTTAATATTTTGTCCATCTTAGGATTTTGGATTTTTGATTAATTTGTCTATTGAGGGCTGTACATTTTTAGAAAATTAAACCACAGTTGATGGACTTGTGTTGTGCTCAGTGGAAATCTTATCCATTTGTAAATTCCACCTAAGATTCAAGATGTCGACCATAGAACGGCTTAATCTCAACTTGAAAAACGGCTGATAAGCGAGTTTTTCTTATCTTCAAAAAGTTAATAAGTAAAATGACACAACTGAGGTGTTAAGTCAGTTGCATGCAGTTCTTCAAAACCACTCATCCATCCATGCATCCATCCGTCTTCTACCACTGTCTGTAAGGGTTTTGTGGGGCTGGTGCCTTTCTCTGGCAGTCGTTTGGTAAAATCCTAAATACATCACTAGTTCATCGCAGGGATATTTAACAAGCACACCTAAGGGCAGTTCAAAAACCTCCAATTAAACAAACAGTCATGTTTGGACTGTAAGAGGAAAAGGGAGTCCCCTGAGTCAACACACTCATGCAGAGAGAGAAAACACAAATTTTTTGCAAAAAGACCAGGATTTAAACTCCGGACCTTCTGGCTGTAAGGGAAAAGTGCTACAAACTGTGCCACCTTGCAGCCTTACCTTAAAGGTTTTTCTTATATATAAATGGTAGAAATGCAACATTGTATCTAAATACTTTTTTTGAGTAAAATACACAAATATAAACCACATCATATAGGTTACTCCTTCTAGGGATGCAATTAGATGTAAGAAAATAAATATAAAGTCAGCATACAGAGTGCTGAAATTGTCTCGCTCAATTACATAGTGGTGTTAACTTTAATGAGACTTAGATCTGTCACTGTCATTCATATAAGGTGAAACATATTTAAAATAAAGCTGTAAACATAGGTATATAGGAATATTGCTTACAGGTTTCTCAGCATGGAAACTAAGTGTATAGTTGATAAATATGTGAATTTGACATGCAGCTAGACCACCAAAATAATGTAAGTTAAATAAAGTAGAGGCACACAGGAAGTGACACGCCCCGACTAGGTTGTTATTTCCTCCTGCGTGTCAAGGTGATGACAGAGATGAATGACAAGTCATCTATATTTACATGTATTGCTCTTGTTGACCCACTGAAGAGTAAAAACATCAAATTATACAGGAATGCTCAAATCAAGGTCATATGTGTAATGTCTGGTTTTCTGCTTTGCAATTTTCAGCTCAGCAAAGAAAAGACCTACACCAAGGGCAAAAGCTGTAGTTAAATTGTGGGTGGAGAGTTTTGAAAAAAATAGTTTTGGGTATATATATTATATATATATATATATATATATATATATATATATATATATATATATATATATATATATATATACATATATCATATCTATACTTTTTACAAAACAATAATATTTAAAAAGAATTGTAGAAAAGAAATAGAACATCCAGGGGGGCATTTAGACATACAGGCTTTATAAAATCAGCACAGAATGTGATGTGGTAGTTTTTGAAGCACAATTGTCGCTGAGAAGTGTTTTGACCCAAATCATGTGATTGCATGCGAGCAAGGCCTTGTTACGTCAGACTTTTCGTCCAGCTTCACAGTAAATTATAATAATCTGGGCGTATCAATACTACTCATGTATTTAAATTGCATCAGAATAGCGGCTCAATTTATGCCTTTAAAAACATTCTTTTGGTCACCAGACATATACAGTTGTCAATATTTCAATAACACGGCAGTGGTAAAAGAATCACTTATAATAGTGAATATCATAATAATAATTTACTTGATTTCTCTGAGTATTTGTTTGGGTAAATTTTGCATTGGTTCATCTTCTGTTTATGAAAGTTATTGTTCTGTTCGTTGGGAAGAACCCTGCTGCAGGAGACCGTCATTACTAGAAGTGCGCACTGGAAGTTTAATTCAGACAGTTTTTAAAACATTTTTTATTAAGTCTTTTAAAATAACACTTCAAGGTCCTACATAATGCAAATTCACTTTTAATGTTATAATTCTATTTCTTCATCATCATCATTCACAAGGTGGTATTTCATTTGATTAATGCATGTCTGAATCATCGTCAGAGTTTTGCTGTGTGAGCATCAGCCCCTATGTTACTTGTGAAAACAAGAGCATAGAGAATATTTACCTAGAGTGAGGATCCCTCCAGGATGCACCTATTGTAACTAGGGGTGGGTATTGGCAAAGAAGTCATGATTCGATTTGAATCACGATTCACATGCCACAATGCGATTCTATCACGATGCATCACGGTACTTGATGCATTGTGAAAATATTGCGATGCATCGCAATATTTACACTGAACACTGTAAGAAAAAGATACAGGCATTACCAGTGGCTGACTGGCTGTGTGTGATCGGGATAGTGTCTTCAATTGACACATAACTGAAAGCAACTAAATTCATACATAGCTGTATTTATTGAAACGACTTTTGGAGGTATTGCCATAAAAACAAATACTGGACACAAATATTACTATTACTGGTGTGGACACATTGACAAAAAGATCCTAGGATTCATAAAAATTTAAATAACAAAATAAGGATAATTAGTGCCGTTTACATGGCCTCATTGGTCCTTTTTGCAAAAGGAAAAAACTTTTTTTGGCCTCTGCCCTTGGAGTTTGCTTAGGCTTTTGAAGTGGTGTGATACTGTATGACGACATCATGAAATGGACTGTACAAATATAGGGTGAGGTAGCTTTGCTTTGAAGTCAGATGTCCCTATCTGCGGCTTTAGGGTTAGAGGAAAGCTATATTTTAAAAAGAAATTAGTCGCCATTTTATAAAAGCATATTTTTTTTAATATATTTGTCTAGAGGTGACCTTGAAAGGCTGAAAAAAAAGACACAATATTTTCAGGAAACAGGGCATAGGGACTCTGTATTCAGGCGAGACAGACAGTGGGAAGTTTTCAAAAAGTGTAATGACAAACAAGAAAAGAAATGGGCTGCTGTGGATCTGCAGATCTGCAACGACTGCGGGGGGAAGCGGGGCAATACCCATGACTTGCACTCTGGTTTAACTATTCAGTCCAACTCCTAAGAGTGAGTCAGGGTCCAGTGGATGGACCGCAAAATGAGATACGGCGGGAGCCACCAAGAGTGTCCCTGATGCAGCAGCCTCTGTAAACAGGCAGAAGTCCGAGCCAGGCAAACACCTCAGAACAGGGTGATTCTGAGTTCCACGAGTCCGCAACCCGTCCAGGGGTTTGGTCCGAACAAGAACAGACAGATCCAGGGCTCCAGGAAACCTCAGAGCGTTGAGGCAGGTTCAGGGCTCCATAGGTCCAACAGAGAGCTCAGGCAGATACGCTCTGAGGCAGAACAGGCAGGCTTAGTAGTTGAGAGGCAGAAACATGACACGACACCAAGAAAAACTGTGTCAAAACAGGAACAGAGCATGCTCAGTGGATAAGAGCCAGGACACACCAAGACAAGACTAATAATCCTCCCAAACCACTGGCCTCCTATAACAAAAATTTGAATGAAGACATCTAAGTCAAACTCAAAAGCAAAGAATCATAAACAATGATTTGGCCCAGATAGCAGGTCTGAAGTTTTGTTAAATGCAACAAAAAAAAAAAAGATCACACCAGAGATTTTGGGGAAACCTAAACCTTTGGGACTCAATATCTAAACCTTACCTTTCTTAAGGGAACCCTAAACCTTACATTGGTGGATGAGAGAAGCTTACCTTAAGTCAATGGATTTAATACGACTTCATTCAATTGGGACCAATGATGATTTAGGTGGAATAATTCAGGTTTGTTTTTTCAGCAGTTATTGTAAAACTGGCACCCCCCTATGTTTAGTATGGTACAGTAGTCTTGCCTCAGTGCCTAAAGTGGTCCATCCGAATCAGACAGAAACTTCTGCCAAAGTGTGTCAGCTGTCTCCATGATAAGTGTTGTCTGAATAGTGCTGACAGTAAGAAAGGAGGGAGCACAATGCTTCCTATTGAAAGCTCATTTTGCAAATAAGGACCTCCTGAAGTTCCTATATGCGGCACAGGAGCCAAAGTTTATCCCATAATCCTTTAAGTGACAATCTCAATGAGATTTAAGAAAAAATGTATTTCCTCAGATGCACTTTATGTGATGCATGCTAATGTTTTTTAGAGCTCTAGCCTTTCACTACAGTTATGTAACTTATTTTTAATTCTAGACAATGATTTTTGCAGCTTTGTTATAGGTTTGAGGTGTTTGGTTAATTTCCAGTGTCTAAAATAATGCCTTGTATTTTAATCTATAACCTCTTTTAAATTTCAGCCCACAAAACAAAACAGTGCATAGAAAATGGGCTACCATTGGC